CCTGTACCAAACTCAACTGTAATTCTCCCTTCATTTTGTGAGCAACTCATGGGGCTGAGTCAGGGGCCCTCCGATTCCTCCTGTAAACAAAACTCAATTATGAAAAAGTACCCATGTCATCTGCCCCCTCATTTTCGTAAAGCGCCGAGCCAAACCGTTGGCACCCCTATATCCTGTATAATAATAATTTCCCCTACACAGCTGGAGACCAGAGCCTGACATGTCTGCTGCAATTTGTAATCCAATAAAATGTAAAAAGGTCTAAATAGTTTTTTTGTGGCATTGAACCCCTTTTTGTAAATGAACTAAATGTATATCTAAAACCAAAATTTTTTCTTCAATGGGATAGAGTAGAGAAGTGAAAAAACCTGATTTGTGTGCCATTGGGGTGTTTACCTGTCAATTCCTGTCTCCTAAATTGGACAAAATGAGAAGAAATCTCTCCAAAAGGAGGAAAATATCCTTTTAGACAGTTGTTGCAGGAACAAGTACCCCCATTGAAAGTTTCCCCTTCAATTCATATTCTGGTGACTACTCAAAATGCTGGATTTTACCTCATTTCTTCCTGATGACACCAGGATTTTGAGATACACTTTACATACACAAAGGGATCAAGCATTGCTGATTGCTCATTTCTTGGTCTTCAGTGAGCAGGGAACTGGTGACTATTCTTCCCTCTGTCCTGCCCCTCCAGCACGCACTGGGCTGTGGAGGGGGGGGCGGCTGGCTCAGGCTCTCAGTGGCTCGCTGAGAGGCTGAACCAGCTGCCAGTCAGGCATCTAAGTGGATCCTGACATTAAAGTGGTTGTAAAGGCATTCTATGCACGAAGGTAAAAAAAAACCTTCTGTGTAAAGCAATGCCCTCAGCCCCCTCAATACTTACCTGAGCCTCATCGCGACGCAGCGATGTGAAATGACAGCCTCGGCTGTCCTGAGTCTCTGCCTCCTCATTGGCTGAGACAGCAAATGGAAGCCATTGGCTCCCACTACTGTCAATCACAGCCAGTCAGTCAATGAGGAGAAGGGGGGGTGGGGCCAAGCCACAAACTCTGTGTGTGAATGGACACATGGAGCAAGGGTGCCCCCAAAGCTAGCTGCTTGCTATGGGGCACCCGACAGACAGGAGGAGCCAGAGCCTGCAGGGGACCCGAGAAGAGGAGGATCCAGGCTGATCCAGGCTGCTCTGTGCAAAACCACTGCACACAGTAGGTAAGTATAGGTTCATCCCTGGTCAGAGTGGTGGTATTTCCACAATGGGGGACACAAGACATGGACTGCCAACAAACATGAATGAAAAAATGGACGTGCACCATTTTTAGCAATACAGCATACCACAATGCACCGCTGAGCATTACTGCAAAGCAACATTCTAAATCCAGTCTAAATCCTGGTTCACATATGTGCGGCGGGCTGCGTTTTGCGTGGGCATGAGAGCCCATTCATTTGAATGGACTCCTGTGCCCCGGGACATGCAGGGAAAACGTCCCTGCGTGTCTTCTGAAAACGCAGCCCGCACTGGAACCTCGGTTCCCAGTATGGTTGTGTTTTCCAGTGTGGGCAGCATGCCTTTAGAACTAATGGCACCCACCCACGGGTCCGCATTTCTCTGTGTGGGGTGGTGATTTTCGTGCGGATCCGCAGCGGCCCCACCTGCACATATGTGAACCTAGCCTTAATGAACACTGCATAAGTAAAGGCTGATTTGTATCTATGACCCATCTGATTTTGGGACATGTTGGAAGTTCTTGATTTCCGTGGGCTGCCATAAAGAGGTATTAAACCCAAAAGCAAACATTTATTATATTGCAGCTTACCAGTTCTTAGAGGTGATGGGTGCATTTGTTTTCTTTTTTTAGGCTTCCTTTCCTTTTTTTTCACCTGGTGATCCTGCCATTTACCACTAACAAAGGTGCCTACAATGAACAGCTTTTATTTGTATAAAACCGTTATCCCAAAAGGAAAAAAAAATTATGACAACTGCTTAAAAAGTATTAGCTGGAGTTTGGCTTCAGTTTGTTAGTGTATCTAAATCTGCTAGTACATTTAACCCCCCCCCCTTCCTCCCTGACTGACAATGCTACAAGGGGCATTCTAATACAGAAGGTGTGTTACTGACAAGATCACCAGGTGAAAACAGCAGAGGAAAAGAAGCCTCCAAAAGAAAAACTAATGCAGCCACCACATTTACAGTGCCTTGAAAAAGTATTCATACCCCTTGACATTTTCCACATTTTATCTATCACAAAAAATCCCAATAAAATACATTTACGTTTTTTTGGTTGTAACAGGACAAAATGAGGAAAATGTCAAGGGGTATGAATACTTTATCAAGGCACTGTAAGGATTGGTAAGCTGCAATACGTTACATTTCCTTGGTTTGGGTATAATACTGCTTTAACCTCTTGCCGTCCGCCTGCTGTTTATAAACGGCAGGGCGTGGCAGTCCAGGGGCGGGTTGCCGTTCATAAACGGCACCCCGCCTTTTCTAGCTGTGCACGCTCCCTGGGAGCGCCCACCACCGCGATCCGGTGCCCGCTGTGTCCTCCGGACACAGTGAAACACCGATCGTCGAAGGGACCATCCTAACGAGGTCCCGATCATGTGATCACTGATTGGCGAATCAGTGATCACATGCAAAGTAGTAAGCAAGATGTCACTTGTGACATCATTGCTTACTATGTGTGAAATCTGTGAATGATCACAGAGGTCACATGGTACAAGGCTATTCACAACACCCTTGTAACATGTGACAAGCTGTGACCCACTCACAGCTCACTCAGTAATTCTCAATGACTGCAAGAATGCAGACAGAGAGAAAGAGAAATGATTGCTTTTACATCCTATATGGGTGTAAAAGCAATCAGTGTAAAAAAAAAAAAATATCTTCATCACCCCCCCACAAGTAGTGACCATGGTGACAGTATGTAAAAAAAATAAAATAAAAATAAAAAATAATATAAAAAAAATAAAATAAAAATGTAAAAAAAAAAAAATGTTTAAAAATTATAATTTTTGGTTATAAACTAATTTGGATTTTTTTTTTTTTACTAAAAAAAAATAACGGAATAAATTTTGGCCAAGATTTTATGATGAAATATTATTTATTGCAAAATTTTATTAAAAAAACACTTTTTTCAAAATTTTTGGACTTTTTCATTTACATAGTAAAAAAAATTAAAATCCCAGCGGTGAATAAATACCACCAAAATAAAGCTTTATCTGTCTCAAAAAAATGGTAAAAAATTCATATGGGTACAGTATTGCATGACCGTGTGATAGCGCTGAAAGCTAAAATTGCCCTGGACAGGAAGGGGGGTAAAAGTGTCCGGACAGGAATTGGTTTAATACAACACTCATTAACCTGTGACATATCATACTATAGCGCACCGCAAAAATGTAAATTGTAAATAGGCTCTATAAACAATCTTTAGCCCTTGTTCACACCGTATGACTTACCATGCGATTTGACAGTTCCAAAAGCGCACCCTATTGTCAGCAATGGAACCCTCTGACTCCAACTTTTCCGTGCTGCACCAACTTGAAGAAAGGGTTCCTGCACTATGTTTTGCAATTTCAGGCGTGACTTGCATAGACATCTGTGTATGAAATCACACAGATGTCAGGCAAGTCACACCTGAAATCATGCGTACCTGTGGCTTTGAAATCATGTGATTTCAAGTGAAGTTGAATGATTTCAAAGTCAGATTCAGTGTAAACCAGGGCTTAGAATGTTATCAGCATATTAAGGTTCCCACTAGTGTGACTTGTCATGCGACTTTGGACACAAAGTTTTATGACAAGTTGCAGCCAATTGACTTCAATGGCACCTGTTCCGATCCATGCAGCTTAAAGTTGCAGCGACTTTGAAAAGTTTCCTGCACTATTTTATTGTGACTTTTTTGTGAATTGAGTGTCAGAGTGTGTAAAGACGCTATCTAAAGTTGCATGTGAAATCGTGTGATTTTGGAGTCGTTCTACTGGAAATGGAGACTAAAGCCTAAAAGAGAAAGTAGGGATCCCCCCCCTTTATACTTACCTCGGTGGATGCAGCATCGGTCCAATTCTGCATCTGCCCCCTCCCCATCGGCTCTAAGCGGTGACTGTCAGTAACTGCTGTCTGCTCTGCCCCCCCAGTTCTCATTGGAGTGCTGGGCTGTGGAGGGGGAGGGAACGGCTGGCTCAGGCTCTCAGCAGATGAGAGGCGAAGCCAGGTGCAGGTGCAGCACTATGGTGACACTGTGCTGCTAGGGTGACAGTATGTAGAAAAAAACCCATAAAAAATAATATAAAAAAAAAATTAAAAATGTAAAAAAAAAAGTTTTAAATTATAATTTTTGGTTATAAACTAACTTGGGTTATTTATTTTTTTTTACTAAAAAGATAATAAATTTTGGCCAAGATTTATGATGAAATATTATTTATTTGCCAAATTTTATAAGAAAAACCTTTTTTTTCAAAATTTTTGGACTTTTTCATTTATATAGCAAAAAAAATAAAAAAATAAAAATCCCAGTGGTGAATAAATACCACTAAAATAAAGCTTTATCTGTCTCAAAAAAATGCTAAAAAATTCACATGGGTACAGTGTTGCATGACCGCGCAATTGTCATTCAAAGTGTGATAGCGCTAAAAGATGAAAATTGCCCTGGACAAGAAGGGGGAGAAAGTGTCCGAAGTGGTTAAAGTTCATGTGCATGTAAAGGCAGACGGAACAATACAATACGGAGCAATATAGGTGTCCGTTTATGACACAGAGAATAGCTGCGATTCAGAGGATAGCAGCTACTCTCTGGTCAGTCACAATTTATGACACTCAGGAGCAGGGGCGGACTGACCATTCGAGCAGTCGGGCACTGCCCGAGGGCCCGGGGTCAGTAGGGGGCCCCATGAAATGCCCCTGGTAACTTTTTTATAGTCTTTGAGTGTGGGCAAGGACACAGGGGCCCTATGATCCCCTATTGCCCGGGGGCCCCATGAGTTGGCAGTCCGCCCCTGCTCAGGAGATCAGCGGAGAACATGTTCAGCCCTTCATTGGAGATCTGTGTTCTCTCTCCAGATTCTCCAGCCCAGAGCTGGAGAATCGGAGGAACTGCAAACTAAGCAGCGATAATTTACGTCTGTTTAGTAAACTGATCTTTTACTGTAATCTCACGAGATTATAGTAAAAGCAGCCGTTTTCCAGCGTTTGTAGATCGTTTTCTTCCTTCGTTTGGAGAACTGATCTACACCGCTTCATAAAACGCATTCGTAGGAGAACTGTGTTCTCCAAGAATTCCGGAGAACTGAGCAGCGATCATTTACCGCTGGTTCATAAACGGACACCATAGTGTATATCACAAAATGCAGTCTGTAATATATATCTTAAACTAGAGATAAATCATGGGGTTGATTTACTAAAGGTAAATATATTCTGTGCATTGCAAGTGAAGTTACTTTAGATCCAAGGAAAAGCTCTGAAATGAGAAGCTTTGCTGATTTCTTTTATCCAATCACTTGCCAGCATAAATGAAGTTTTTAAATTTTCCTTTCATGTTCCCCTCAGATCTAGAGCAACTGCACTTTCAGTGCACTTCCAAGTGCACAGCCTATCTGCCTTTAGTAAATCAACCCCTATATAAAGATATCTCACAATCTCCAGTCTGCACACAATATATATATTATATTATCAAAAAATAATACAAACCGTACACTCTACATATAGAAATCCTTCAATCTATAGTCCTGCCCTC